TCCTCAGGACTAAAACTTCTATAAAATTTGATCAGATAAGACATTTCAGATAGTGACTGAAAACTCTATTTCAAAAATTCACCCAACATAGTCTGCAATGAGATAGGACTTTCTACCCATTTTAGAGATGATTCATTGAAACTGCAACCATTCTCATTAGATGCCCAAGTAACAAAAAAGAAAAAATATTTTTTTAAATAAATGAGACTCTTAACCACAAAGATATGACCATGTTATTGTGAAGGGATAATAGAATTCATTCTTATATTTAAAAATTGCATTCTCCTGTTATCATAACACAGATAGGACTTTCTACCCATTTTAGAGATGATTCATTGAAACTGCAACCATTCTCATTAGATGCCCAAGTAACAAAAAAGAAAAAATATTTTTTTAAATAAATGAGACTCTTAACCACAAAGATATGACCATGTTATTGTGAAGGGATAATAGAATTCATTCTTATATTTAAAAATTGCATTCTCCTGTTATCATAACACAGTGACCTACAAAAGATATGACCATGTTATTGTGAAGGGATAACAGAATTCATTCTCATATTTAAAAATTGCATTCTCGTGTTATCATAACACACTGACCTACAGAGAAAACCTTCAATGGAGTGGAGAAACAATAAATTATTCTAGAAAGGATGTGTCCTCTATTATCTTGAGAAAGGAACCCTAGCTCTGTTCCCAGAATTGAGCTACATGTAAAGGGAAACAGTGGACTGAGAAAATTATCTGACTTTTTAAAGATTTAAACCAAACTCCTGGAATTATACCCAGAAACAGATGGGTGGCCAGTTCTCTCTGTAGTTTTTTCTCTGCTGACAGAAGCGAGTGCATAACTCAGAAGACATGTGCTTTAGGATAAGTAGCCTATAGTCCTGGGTATACCAGGGTATATGTGTGTATGTATATGTGTGTGTATGTGTGTGAGTGTATATATAGAGAGAATCTCAATTTCTTTTACGTAGTTAATCTTGAACCAAATCCTAAGAAGAAATCTCTGAATATAGACAGGAAATTTATGTTTCATTTCCCTAGAGATTTTTTTCCCTGCTTTAAAATCACCTCCTAATTGATTTTTGTATTTCTTTTACTAGTAGGAAAATAATATAATGGTTATGAGTGCTGACATAGGAATCAGAGCAACTGGGTTAGAATTTGACTTTGGACAAGTTACTAAGTTTTTGGAGATTTAGCTTCCTGATTGATTCAATAGGGTATACCTCACAGAGTTGTGGTAAAGATTAAATGATGATCAATTTAAAGAGCTTAGCACAGAAATCTTCATTTAGTGTGTTCAACAAATATTTAGTCTTTTTATCAAGTGACCCACTATTTTTCTAATCTGGTATTCCTAGTCATTCAAAATAAAATTATTTTTTCTAACTTTTCTCCTTCATATGATTTATTCCAGCCCTAGTAGCACTAGGCCTTGTGAAGTATGACTCTTAAACCTCTTTGGAAGTAGTCCCTTTATTTTCAGTATAGCAATCGTCAGTATGGCCCACTAACTTGCACTTGGATATAGAAGAATGACCCCTAACTGGTTTCTCAATATGTCTGCTTTCAGATTGATCTTCCTAAATAGAGTCCTGGCTATGAAGTCATTGCAGGTGAACTAGGGATTTAAACATTCCTAGGAGAATTGGTTTTGGGTGGAACTAGTCTGCTAATTCACAGAATTGCTACATGCTATTTCATAGTCAGGGTCAGTGTTCCTACTACCAAAATTGAATAATCCATAAAAGGTATGTCATTGGCATTGATTGATGCAGTGATGATGTATACTCTTTAAGAGAAAAGCTGTGTCTGCTTTGCTCACCACTGTATTCCTATATCGATCAGAGCACAAGGCATGTAAGTAGACACACACTAAATATCTGATGAACAAATAAGTGAGTTAGTGAGTGAAATGGTGTCACAAAGGCCCTGATAGCTTTATCTTTGTGAGACTGAATTTGTAGTACTTTTCAAAAGATCATTCAAAGAGAGTTGACATTATTGCTTGGCACCAAATTGCATGTCATGTTAGATTCAACCCAAGTTACAATAATTTAGTCATGATCTGGCATATCTGGTATGTGAGAACGGGGAAATCATTTATAAATTTGAAGAGTGTGCGTTAAGATATGATTAACAATGAGAGCTGGAATCAACATGGCTGTTGGATTCCCAGTTTCCAAAAGCAAGAACATTAGATACTGATGCTAAGAAACAAGAAGTTGTTGCTGGGAAAAACATAATATAAGAAAGAACTTAGCCAGTGAGAACCATTTTTCTAGTAGGTGAAAATGTATTCATTGCTAGTTTCAACCCAATGAATAAGTAGTAGCTTATATTTTGAAATTCAAAAGACATGAAGAACTACTTGCCATTCCTGAAATAAATACTAAAAATCTGAAGTGTTGTTATTCTATGATCCTAACACAAGTATTACTTACATATATATTGACAAAGTAACAGTGGTATCTGTCAACTTGGGACCATGCCTGAATCACATATGTCCAACAGTAGCAAAGAGAGATGTGCAGACGGCATTCTTTTTTTTGTTTGTTGGTTTTCGAGGTTTTTGCTATAGGGCACATGTGCTCACCAGAAAGAGAGAGACAGAAAGATAGAAAGTGAGAAATCACCCCCCAGGGGGTATGGCCACACCGCAATCCCTTCTCCTCTCGGGAACTTGGGCACGCATGCATATGCACCTAGTATGAGTTTAAGCCACTGGGTCCGGGACTCGAACCACGATGAACTACATGGGAGTCCAGTGACATAGTCACTACATGAACTGCTTGTCCATGGACGGCATTTTTAAAAGGGGACATAGTGTTAACAAATAGAAGATGGACAATTGTTCAAAATCCAAAAAAGAAGCTAGATGTGAATTTATGTTACTATTCTTAGAAGTTTGACCTTTTCCAAGAAGATCTATATTCAGATATTGAGAGAACATATGCAGATCTGAGAGCTAATGAATGGTTGAAAAGTAAATAAATAGATAATTCCTTTAAGCTTGAAACATGGATAGGTAATAAACTAATATAAGAATCTTAGGGTAATCAACCATCGAACTTTCATATAATTTTCATAATAATTTAAAAGGGGTTTCTATGTTATCCTGTATGATCTTCACAGCAACAAGGTACAGAAGAGGTAACTGAGGACTAAGAAGACGAGATAATTGTTCAACATTACATATCCCACAATTGATCATATCCCCCTTTAGGTTGTTATTAGAGTTTGGTTCTAATCATCTGAAATCATGGAAACAATGTCTGCTCCACTTGCCTGGCCACATTTCAGTGAATATATACTAAGATAATATAAAGAAACCATGCAGGTTCTTCAAAAAGTTAATGGAAATGTGTAACATGAAAAATTACGAATGGCTCTCAAATTTTTTTTTACACCAAAATAAACTCGGATTTAATACCATTTTTCCACTAAAACTTTGAAGTTTCGTCATATGTTACTATCCCATCCAGAACCTTACTCTTGGGGTAAACCATTTGTAGGAGCAATCATTTTTTCAGCCATCCATGTGGTATAGATCGCAGAGCAAGACTAGCACAGACCCCTTTGTCACAAAGGTGTTGGCAAACAACTGAAAAGAGAACTATCCAAGGAATCTGAGATTTCCTCAGCCTGCATTAAGGATGGCTGATAAATACTAAATTATTGGGTCATTGGAAAAGTCATGATGTATTTTTTTTTTCTTCTTTTTTTTTTTTTTCTTTTTGGAGAGTATTTTGCTACAGGGCACATGCGCTCACCAGAAAGAGAGAGAGAAAATGGGGAAGAGAGAGGAGAATGGCCACGCCGCAATCCCTTCTCCTCCATTATTCTCTCAGGATCTTGGGCACACACACACACACACATGCCCGGCGTGAGTTTAAGCCACCAGGTCTGGGACTGGAACCGCAGTCGACTACATGGGAGTCCAGCGACGTAGCCAGTACACTAACTGCTGGGCCCATGTATTTTTTTTCCTATGCAAAAATTCATTGTGACTTGTCCAATGACCCAATATAATGCCCAGGTTTAAGTAGGAATAAGCCAAAGTACATACGAGGTCAGTATTTCTAAGCAAACTCAAACATCCTGCCTTGTAAGTTTCTGGCCCTATGTAAGGCACAGGCTCCTGACTATTTCCCTCTATCCACCTTCTCATTTCTGGCCTATTAGAGAAAAAGAAGGGTGTCTTCACAAAACTTTCACAGTAGAGACAAGCTTTTTGAGGGTTTGGACTTTTGTTTGCTTCCTTTGCCCATTAGTGCCGCATATTAGCATCTGACTAAATGTTGTGTTCTTTATCCTCATCTCCACCTCCCTAAACACAAACCTACACACACACACCCTGCAGGGTTCATAGCTGTTGGCTGAAGAAAAACAGGCTCTGGGTTGCGACCTGACTGTTGTTTCCCAGACCTGGAGAGTGAAAAGATCTGGATTATTTAAAATATTCATGATGAGCTTTCCGCCCTTCTCTGTGTCTCTTCATATTCGATCTGTGAAATAGGGTTGAGCAGGCAGGAGCCTCATTTTTCTAATCAGCATTGCTCTAGGTTGGAAAATTGAAATTACAAAACAATCACAACAAGAAAAAAATTGTTGAGAGAATGAATAGAACTACCTTATAAACAGGCTTCTAGATACTCTTTAAATGGAGGGTACTATTATAAAGGTGCAGAACAGTCACAAAACTCTGCTTTCAAGGCCTGGGTGGATGCAGAGCTGAGGAAGTGTGGGTGGGGGCCAATTTACAGTGTCAGTCCGGTGGAGGACAGGACGGGACCCAAGTTTGGGAAAACAGTCAGGGACAATTGTAGCCTGGACAGAAGCAGAGAGGACAGCAGGCTTCCTTCCTGTCTTGCTCTTATCTAAGGGCACAGAGAATGCGTGGGAGGAAGCCTGTGATGTAGGTGAGGTATATATGGCCTTAGGAGGCCACTGGCTGCACTTCTTCTCCCCTTCTCTTCCCTGATTGGCAACTCCTCCATCTTTCACTGCACTCTGCTGGCAATTGGGCCTCCTCCTGCTCCTCCCTCAACACCTCCCTGGGTCTGCCTCCAGGCTCCAATCCAGTTTGGGACTGCCTCATAAGTATCCCCAGACCTGGGTTTGCGTTAGCGATAGGCAGACTTGGGGGAGGGGAGGCGAGGAGTAAGTGCTGCTTGGGCTAGCGTGATCTCTGCTTCTTCCAACCTGTAGCCCCAGGGACGTTGAACTGAGCTGCGCCTTACCGCTCAGCCTGAAGATTCACCATGGTGAAAATCTTTTTCAGTACTCCCACTGCGGTGCAAAAGGAGGAGGCACAACAAGACGTGGAGGCCCGAGTGAGCTGCACCATGGAAGCTCAGATCCTGACCCGCAAGGTAGCTGTTCCCCACTCTGCCACTGGCTGCTTGCAAGCATCAGGAAAAGGAGGTGGGCAAGGAGGAGAAAGAACAGAGGGCAAGTGGTGAAGTACAAAAGGAAGTCTGCCTCACAGTCCCTAGTCCCTGGGCAAGCCCCTCTGCGCTGTCCTGGAAGTTGCTCTATACTGTCCCTCTCTACTGGTTTAGTGGGTCGCGGGAAATCGGTCGAGCTACCTTCTGCCTGCCCCGCCCCATGTACTTCTGCATCCTCTCACGTCGCGTGGTGTTTCCTCGGTTCCAACCCACGCCGCCTATCCTGGAGAGAGGTTGGAGGAAGTTTTATGAGAAGATCCAAGGGACCGAATGCCATCTTCTGGGGAACTTGTTGGGGAATGGGGATCATCCAGGGGCATGACTCTCAGTTCCCGAGTCCAGAGCAAGAAATGCCTGTAGCCTCCCCGGGGTAGAGCGGACACGCGGGGTGAGCAAGAGCAGGAGAATTAACTTTTGTTCCTTTCCGTTTGATGTGGAGGAAATTTTATGAATTTAAATCTTTCTGGGAACGTACAGTGTTTGTGGAGGTGGGGAGGGGAACAAAGGGCAACTTTAACTCCAATTGGTATGGGTTACAGCAAGCATGTGGCTGTGAGTATTTCAGTTTCTCTCCGGTCATAGGCATCCTTAAGTAATTAGCTAAGGGAGCTGTCAAAATCGAGGTTGGTCTTAATTCGAATTTTGGGTGTTCATTGTGCCCTCCTACTGCAAAGAACTTTCTGTGTTTTCATAGTGGCATTTCCTAAAGGAAACATTCTTTCTTAAAAATAAATTTGATTACACTTTTTTATTCTTTTTCTTTTAGTTCTTTCTTCCTGGGGAAATTTCCCCTTCTCTTCCCACACCACCCCCTCCTCCTCCCTGCCCCCACACACAGAGATCTGAAGCAGGTCCAGTGCTACAATTTAAGCTACTAGTTTTGTTAGGGACTATGGAAGTATTCTCCCTAAAATGTCAGCCTTTATTCATTTAGCTCTGTTTCTGTTTCTTTAAACGCATACCTTGTCTTCAGTGTTCATAAAGTCCTTGTCATTTCCCTCAATAAAAATCTAAATTTTAAAAGACAATCGTATTTTCTTCATTCTACAAAATCTACAAAGTGTTAGACCTTACAGATCTCTGCTAACGTGTCTTATTCACTCTATAACGTTTTAACTTCACGTTTATATTGAGTGTACATTTGAAAGTACTTTGAGTGAAATGGGAATCCATGTAGTAAAACTGGATTATGAACACAATTTGAAATGGTAATGCACTTACACAGGTTTTATCAGGGGAGCTTCCAATATTGAACCCTGCGATAAAACTAGCTTTTGTGGATTATGCATTTTAGAACTCAGAATTAATACCTTCTTGCATTGTTGATGTTTTGATTAAATGATGGTCAAATATGTAATTGTCCTCCTACTTTCTTTGTTTTTTTAAAGGAAAGTGTTCCTAACCTTTTTTTTTAAGAATAATTTTATTTCACTTTATTTATTTATTTACTTATTTATTTATTTTAATTTGATCAGAGAGAAAGAGAGGGAAAGTGAGAAAACAAGCCAGCAGGTCCGGGACTCGAACCGTGGTTGGCCATGTGGGAGTCCAGCACTCTTAACCACCACACTATCTCCCGGTCCCACTACTTAATTTCTAAATGAAGTCTGGGCAAATTTTGGGGAAGGTCTAATTAGATGCCAGTAGCTAAATATAGTCACACAGCAATCCTTTTTGTCCTCGCCACCACAAACTTCATGACTTATAGATAGATTCAGTTAATATGCAAGCAGTATTTCTGCCAGGCCTGTAATATAATGAAAAATAAACAAAAATGAGTATTTGTATTTAAATTATATTTCTGTGTTAGGTTTTGAAGCTTTCTCAAAATTCTGACCTGGCCAGTAACAATACTTGATACATTGATCAGCTAACTCATCAGAGATTGGCATGACAGAATACTATGTCATAGATTGAATACGATGACTTTAAAATACAATTTATAGAAAAATTAGATATGGTAACTGATGGCCCCTACCACCCTGAAGTATAAAAAAATTAAATGAAAACAAAGAAACCTTATTATACTAGTATGTAGAGATATCTTATGAAATGGAGACACTAATACTTAGACCTTACCTAATAATAAATTTTCTGAATTATTAGAATGAGAAATGAAATTGCAGTGCAAACTGTTCTTCTCATGTCTAAGTAACAAGAAAATAAAGAAATTAATTTCTTTGAGAATTTAAAATTAAGTCATTATGTCATTTACAGACAAGTCACTTCATCTTTCTGGACCTCAAGTTAAATCCTCTAAAATATAATTTCAAGCTTCCAGTCCTAGATTACAGTGTTTTCCAATGTAAAATTATAGTTCTGTCTTTGTAGCACTAATCTTAGTTCAGATTTTTTTAATAAAAATAATTAAAAGTTTCTCAAAATTATTGCGACAAGAAAACCTTCATATTTTATAAAGTGTTAACAAGGATTTGAACATAAATAAATTTAGCAACCAAATATGAATCACAAAATTTTTTTGACCATAAGGAAAAATCTTTTTCGGGACTTGCAGGTGGTGTAGTGGTTAGGGTTCTGGACTCTCACATGGCTAATCACAGTTCGAGTCCTGGTGGCTTGCTTGCTCTCTCTCCCTCTCTCATCAGGTTAAAAAAATAACAATAAGTAAAATTAAATAAATAATTCAAAAATTTTTTTTCTGAAAAACTATTTATTAAATGATTGTCTGGTTTTTCTTCTTTTACATTAACTTCAAATCCATGCATTTATTTTCACCAAATTAAGTTAAAGTTACTTAGGTCTCAAAAACACTATACTAGACATCATTTGAAAGAGCTAATGGTCTGAAAAAACAGAACAATTTTAGTTATATGAATAATTTACTGATTACCAGGACCAAGATTTGCTGATTTCATTTATTCTATCTACTCTTGAGTAATAATGTTGCTTAGGGCATATTGTGAGATATGATGAGATATGAGAATCAGATTGGTTGGCTCTCCAGTTAAATGCCCTGGGAAGGGTGCAGTTAATCAGTTGCTTGTTTGCTTTGGAGCATTCCTATTCCAATTCCTAAGCAAATTATTGCTTTAACAGAGTTTTAGTCACTGTTACACAGCCAGATTTTGTGTTTGCCAATTACAAATATTATATACTTTAAAATCCAGTATTTCACCCTGGACTTGGAAAACATTTTTAATTCATTTAATAAATATGGACTGTTGGATGACATTAGGAAGGTTCATAGTTCTTGATAGAATTATGAACATTAGAAAATATATCTCTGCCTTAAATATAATTTGTAAAACAGGGGAATATCTGTTTAATTTGCCTTACAGAATTCCTTCTTTTAAAACCTAATTTTCAAAAAGCTCATTTTAAAAAACTAGTTAATGAATCAAAAGATATTAAATCTCCTTTAAGTTGGCAAAGAAATTGATTTACAAAAAAATAGTAAAGTGGCATAAGTTTATTTCAGAAAGTTAATGATTTTATCACTGTACATGTTCTATAAGTATGTATTAATACTTCCATTTATTTCGTGTATAACTTCTGGAGTTAATAAACTTCTAGAGATTAGCTGTATCTTTTGCGCCTGTAATTAACAATGCTGTGCCATGCACTTAAAAGTTTAAGAGGCGGGAACCAGCAGTTAGCGTAATGGCTATGTCGCTGGACTCCCACATAGTCGACCACGGTTCGTGTCCCAGACCAGGTGGCTTAAAACTCACGCCGGGCACGTGTGCGTGCTTGCCCAAGATCCCAAGAGGAGAATGGAGGAGAAGGGATTGCAGCATGACCATTCCCCCCTGGGGGGTGATTTCTCGCTTTCTGTCTCTATGTCTCTCTCTGTCTGTCTGGCGAGCGCACGCGCCCTACAGTGA